CACGTTGGAATCGGGAAAATAGACCAGTATAATTATAATATTGAACATAGAGAAGGAAAATGCCATGGTAATGCTGATGGACTGAGCCGAAGACCCTGCAAAAATAACTGCAGACATTGCTGCAAAAGAGAGGTTGAACTAACCAGGTGCCATCAAGCTAAAGTCAAGCAGACTGAAAGAGATGATGATGGTGAAGTGGAACCAAATATAGATATCAAGGCAGAACAGGAGAAAGACCAAGATTTGAAGCCAATGATTGATTTTCTAAAAGCAAGTGTTTTGCACCCTGCTTGGGAGAAGGTGTCTAGTCTAAGCCCTGTGACAAAGAACTATTGGGCACACTATTAATTAACGAACGGAGACGTAACAATATATTTTCAAATGACTTGGATTGATTTAGTATTATAAATGCAATTCAGCAAAAAAACAAACAAACTTAAAATCACTTATTTCAGGATGGCACATCAATAAATATAGTGTACGGCTTGTCAGATCAAACTTTTCATCTTCATAAATGTAATCTTTTAAGAATTCAAAATTTTTATATACTTTGGTTCCAATAGTCCACTAACCAACCAGAATGAAATTTATTTCACTGCATGAAAAAACTATCTTTTAATGGCAACAAAAAGTGATGAAAAACCAACATTTTTTTACCTTTTGACAACTTTTATACACATTTTGCAAAAATACAAATGATCTAAAAGATAATATTTTTTTGTATAACTCTTGTGACTCAAGATATTCAAATGACCCACTTTTGTTTGCACTAAAAGATGTTTGAAATATAAAGTTTTCTACCATCAAAAAGTAAAAAAAAAAAAATCATTTTTTTACACATTATTGGAATTTCCCAAAGAAAAATGCAAATAGGTAATAAAAGGTGAATGTCCATTGAATAAATGAATAAAAGATTTAAACAGGTAACAAAAGTTGAACTTTTGTATACTGAACTATGCAAACAGATTTTATAATGTGATCTGTTGGGAGGAAAAAAAAATGAACTTTTGTATACTGAACTATGCAAACAGATATTATGAGGTGATCTGTTGGGAGAAAAAAAGATGAACTTTTGGAGGAATAACACACTAAAACAAGGTTAAATACTAATGTCCACAAGATGCAAACAGGTAAAAGAAGGCCAACTTTTGATTATTAAAAAACATAAACAGGTAACAAGTGTAAAAATTTTGATTGCTAAAATATACAAAC